CCTGCTTTTCCATACCAATTAACCTTGCCTGTTAGCAGAAACCTGTTCCCTGCATGGGAACAATTCCAACAGCTATCAAGAAAAAGGGATCAGGCTAGCTGTTGAACAACAGTCCATGTAACAAGCCCTACTTAACACCTAACATATTTCCAAAGAAAATGAATTCCCTAGACTCTACAGTCTTACATAGTTCTTGTTGAATGTAAATACCACCGGACATATCATGTGTCTGTCATACCCATTGCACCCTGTGGAAGTCTCTTAAAAGTAATCAGAATTGCATTTTCTTACAGTCCCACTCCCTCCTTCCACAATACAAACATCCCAGTCCCCCTAATCCAGTTGCACTCTATATCTTTAAGTATGCATTTTACTGTCTACTCTCTTTGCTGTGTTGAATAGCTTAGCTTCCCTAACCCTTTTATAAAAGCCAGGACAGATCAGCATTGCCCAAGAAACACTAACATCACTAACACGTAACTGGAATAGAATGCAACAGCTGATTAACATCTGAACAGGAACAGGACAGGAAGCAAAGGACCCGAATCCAATCCCCAGAAGGAATGTTAATGGAGAATAAAAATACCCAAGGGAGATTTTGACCATGACATGAACGCTAGCTTTCTAATGCATATAAAAGCATAGAACAACCTTTAATGGCTACATCTGAAATTGCACAAGAACCAGCTTGGCAAAAGGTCGTTTGCCAAGTTACCTTTAGCACCGACAACTACACTGGGGGCTAATGACAGCTTCTCATCCAGAAACACTGACACACCAGAAGCCTGTTTAGTTTGTTCAGCGATCCTGTTAGCTTGATCTCTTTAGTTTGTTCAGTGATCCTTTCAACTCTCACAAGGTGGTTTAGGTTACAAAATTCCAGAGCCTCTTCGCCTTTGCACCTTGGGTTTCATGTCCTTCCCCATTCTGTCTTCTTACCTGTGTTCTTTTAAGATTTTCCATGGGAGGACTTTTGGTTCATGTTTCTCTCATATTTAAAGAGATGTAGACCAGGTCATTAGAAAACAGTCCATGTAGATTAGGAGAACTCTCAAAAATTCCTGAAAATAACTGCCTGGGCCCTGCTAGAAAAAGCAAATCTTGACATTCTGACAACACGTATCTGGCCAAAAGCTGGTAGATGACATAAGGGAAATTTGGGAGCCATGGCCTTCAACTTTCTCAAACACAAACTAGGGAATGGCTACAGCAAGCAAACATTTGAAGAGAAGTGAAGGAGGGAGTGGGTGAACATTTCTGTAGAAAATCAACATGTAGGAATTCCCTTCCCAGACCAATGTCAGCTCCTGCAATGTGGGGGGTGGTGGTGGGATGGAATCATACGTTATCTTCCTAGAGCATAAAATCAAAAGGCATTTAATTAGGACAAGGCAGAAACACTTAAATTCTTCAACCACAGAGAGGAGGACTTTCAGCCCCTGTAAGTATTCCCTAAGTCTCATACAATCCCCAGCAATTAACAGCAGTCCTCTTGTTGCAGCCTTTGGTTTCAAAAGTTTTGGGAGAACTACAGTCTCCAGATCCTCAGTGCCAGGGACTGAATGTCACTGAGCTGTCTCTGTAGCAGAGAATACAGCAATGCTAGAGCACGCTCCTTTACTGCAACCTATATACTCGCCTCCAAAGCATCCCCTCTGTCTATGAGTCGCAGTGATGCACAGATGGCTAACACACTATGCAGTATCTACGCAGCCGGACAATGGAGCAGAGCATGTTATTTGCATTATTTACAGAGGACAGATGGATAAGTTGTTGCAGTGAAGCAGCCTACAGAGAGCATCTGCAATGTTGAGGAGGCGTTAAGTCCAGCCCTAATGTTTGCAGGTGCTGGCAAAAGCAAATTTCAAGAAATGAAACGGCTGTTTACAGCAGCCAGCTTTATTCTGAAATGCTATCGCTACCACCATGCTTGAGGAGTAATTCATGTGCCAGTTTTGTTCCCATAGAGCCTTCACCCGCAAGCAGAAAACAGAAGATGTATTGACTAGATTTATCCTTTTCAACACGAAAGAGAACTGACATCTGTAGTACTTAATGTAGTAACTTCTTCCTTGGCCATAAGTTTTGTATGTGCGTAAGTCACTGCGCATACTGAGGCACATACTGGGGGAGACAGTGACCAAGAAACAGCATCAAAATTGGCTGAAATTTCTTTCAAGCTCTGCCTCTCTGTAGAAAAGTCCAGCTCAAACCTGCTCAGCCATCTGAATCTTTTGAAACATTGAACACTTGTGAAAGTTTTGAGATGTTGCTTTTAGTGCATACACAGCACACTAACCAGGTCGGCAGGCGCTTTTATTGGCAAGCTGAGAAGGAACCTTA